AATGACTTGACAGCCAGGCAGGGTCTGGTGCCTTTGTCACGGCTCGTGCAGGAGGACTTACAGTGCCCGAGTAGGGTATGGCTTGGTGCTGGCCTTGGCGAAGTGCCTGGTTCTCCTTGAGGTTTGAATGTAAGGAGTAGCTGGGTCAGCTTCCGATCCTGTGGTCGGGACTGCAGGAAGGAGCAGCCTCTCAAAGGAGCAGTGCAGCCCCAGTGCCTCCCAGATACTCAGGGACAGCACTGCTGCGGGAAAGATGCCTCAGGGCTCAGACCTGGAGGGCCTGAGCTGAGGAGCCTGCTGCTAAAAATAGCCCTGTAGGTTTTGTTGACCTCATTTTGAAGAGCAGCTGGCAAAGGGGAAGAAATATGGGGTCAGCCACTCACAAGGCACCAGAGCCTGAGGAAGGCCTGTCTCCTCACCTATTAAGTTCATCCTTTCCCCAGGGCTTTCCAGAGTCCTGTGAGCCTGACCCACTTCCATGCTTGGAGGATAGCAGTGTATTAAAAAGATTAAGGAATGCCCAAATGGGCTTACAAGACATGGGGTGCATTTTAAATGTTAATAAGGAACACAATAATGCTCCAAAATATAATGCAACACAATTGTGCTAAGATTAAATCATTGCAGGATTTAATACAAATTCTAAGTTATTGTGTGCTGAGAGCACAGATTTAAGGTTGTATAATGTGCATCTTTTTCCTTCTGGCTGTATGTGATATCTCAGCTCTTCACATCACCTTGTTTGCTATTGACATTAAAAAGTCTTCACTGGGGAGATCTTCACTTTGGGAAGATTAAATGTTCTAGAGATGGATGGTGGGGTTGGGTCACACAACAATGTGAATGTACTTGAGCCACTGAACTGTGCATTTAAAATTATTAAAATGGTGAATTTTATGTAACATAGATTTTACCACACTATTTTTTTTAAGTTGATACTTGGAGCCTTTCGTGAATGGAGAGGGCCATGGGCCTACCAGATCTCCTAGGACAGGCCCTCATCAGCCCTCACCTACTTTACAATTGAATCCCCTGGTTGTACAGTTCCTGTGAGAAAAATCTGAATTCGGATTACTGTTCGAGAGCCTGGGTGGAGCCCCCAGCTCTCCCACTTCCTATGTGACATGAAGCATTGATTACTTTACTTAAAAATTCCTTATTTCTTTTATTTTTTGTTTTCCCTTTATTTCTTTTCTTTATTAAAGTGAGAGCAATATGTGAATTTTATTTAGATTATTTGTACAAGTTGGAAATATGCTCTACAATTTTGAAGGATATAAAAAGGGTGATACAAAATATTTGTTATGTAAAATGAAGATACTGGAATGGGCAGGGTGGAGAATCACTGATTTAACTCTTCCGATACTGTGCAATATTTTGTTTGCTCTTGACTAGTCACACAGGATTCCCAGCAGGCTGAGAAGCACCTTCTCAAATACTGCTGGTTACTATGTTGGTGGAAAAAGTATCTCAGTCCAACCATCAAATGGTCTGGCCCAGAGGTGACCCACTTCACTTCTCCTCACAACTCATTGGCCAGAATTGGTCATGAGGCTCCATCTGTTCCCCCCCAGACCCCCTCCACCAGGAAGTGGTTTTTCACGTGTCTGGAAGGCATAGAACCAGGTATTGGAGAAGCCACTGATGCCTCCCATTAGTCTCCCTTAGTTCCTTGCTGAACACTTTTAGAAGTGGGATTACTGAATGGAATGTCTTGATTCCTAAGGAAAACGCTTTTTAGAATGGTGGAATATGTAATGATTCTGCAGCTTTATCTAGAGTGTTAGCATATGCCTTGATATATTGTCTGCAAATAACAGTGATCTGCTCCTTGCCTTGACAATGTTTGTACTCATCCCCTACTGTAGTGTACTGCACAAAACTTCTTACACAGTAAAGAAACAGTGGTATTCTCCAGCAATCATGCTCCTCATCGGAATGAGAATATATCCACCGATTCAGCCTAAAGGAGTGGTAGACAGGGCGCTCCTGCTCTGTGCTTCGTCCTCTCTAACTTACTCAGGGCATCACTGTGATGACTGCTCCCTCCTCCCCTGCAGTATAACATTTCTCTCTCCGTTTCTCTCTCTGAATATTCCCGTCAGCGTACAGCATGTCATTCCCCCTTTTCCCCAACCTATTTCTGCAAACATGAAAGAGCTTGCTCTCCCAGCGCCTCCGATCCTTGCATCCATTCCAGGCAGGCTTTTGCCCTGACCCCTTCTTCAGAGTGGCTCACATCGAGGTCACTGACTTCCCGGTCGGCAACTTCAGGCTCAGTGTGCACTTCTCATCTACAGAGCATCAGGCATAGTTGATCGATGTCCCCCTCCTCCTTAAAGGTCCTCTGAGCCCTTGGCTTCCAGGCCATCACTGGCTTGGCTCTCCTCCTACCTCACTGGCCGCACATTTGCCTTTGCTGGTTCCTCCCCACTCCCCCAACTCAGGACACTGGCCATGCCCCAGGGTGGGTCCTTAGTCTGCATCTCTCCTCTGTCTGTACATACCTCCCAGCCGAACTCATCCAGGGTCATGCTGCCCGCTGGCCCCCTCTTCCCATGTCCTCATGTTCAGAAGGCTCTGCAGCCAGCCTGGGCCGGCTGGCTGGCAGCAAAGTGACATGTCACTTCCAGGGAAGGGTGCCTAGTGCTGGCACTGACTCTCCAGATATCTTTCACTCTGCCATGTGGATGTCACTGTCTTGGAGCAGGGAACTGTGGAAGAGAGCCCCGAATATCTGTGATGGACAAACAAGCTCCAGCTTGTCATGTTAGCCAACCTTGAGTGATACAAGAGGTCACTTTGTGGCTTTCCCATGTTTCTCCAAAAGTGAACGAATCTGTTCAGGCTCTTGACTGATCCTGGAAACAATGTAATGTAATTTTAGAAGATAACCTTCAGTGAAAATTTAAAGATAATCACTTCAGTGAGAATTTAGAATGACCAGCATGCAGCTTTATTCATCTGGACAATAAACATTTACTGAGTACCTCATGTACATAAAATCTTGTCCTAAGTACTGAGGTTGTACTGAGACTACTGAAGTAGACAGGCCCGGTGTCCTGTTCCCATTTCTTAAGTAGGCACTCAATATTTATTTTTTCAATGAACAGATAAAATTTTCCTGTGAACTAGACCTTGAAAATGGTCCAACCCACTCCAGGAATCATACCAAGCTAACATTTATCTTGTTCTCATTGCGGACTAGACATTTTTTAAACAGCATGACATTGTACAGATGCGGGGACTGAAGCACAGAGGAACTTCAGTAACACATCTAAGGCCAGAATGAGACACGTTTATCAATTCACTCATTCTTAGTTGCTTATCAAATGTCTGACATGTACCAAGTCTATGTTTCTAGGTGAATCGGTCTTGTGCAGGCACCCCAGGCAAGGGGGCCTACTGTACGGAAGCACTTCAATTTGATGCTCTTTGTAGTGATGTGTATCCTTGTCTCTGTAATATGTTTATTGTTAAACTCCTTTGGCCATTTGAAATGCAATTTATAAGGGCACTTGACTCCTTGGCCTGGCTCAGCAGACCCCATGACACCCAGGCAGTGCTTAGGGTGCATCCAGGGACTCATCAGCAAACACATCACTGCTCAGTGTGCCTGACGCTTACTCTTGGGAGAAGCAGCATTGATGGGGGATTACAAATGGATGTGCTGTCCAACCATGCACTCTGAGTCTGCATTCTCACCCCCAGGTGTTCCTGTGACCCTTGTTCCTGGGCTCTGCTCTGCCTGGGTTCCCTTGGGCACACACACTGTCTCTTCTTTGGGGTTTGCCCACAGGGACACATGGGGATCAAGGGGGAACTGTCAACCTTGGAGGGGAGGAGGGGAAGGGAGCTCACACCACACACTCCTACACTTTCCCCAAAGACTTCGCCTCTGCCTCAGAGGGGCCCCCGTCCTTCTTCCCGCCAGGTCACCAGCCTTGCCAAGCCCACCTCCTCCCTCTTCCTCGTCCCCGCACACATTTCAGAGTCCCCTTCCCTTATTACACAGAGCAATCCTGTGACCATCTTTTGATCCTAAACATCCCACCAGCCCCTTTTTACTATATCAGGACAGTGCTTCTGAATGAATGCGAGGCTCTGGTGAATTCCATTTCCTCTGGCTCATAACATCCGGATCCATTCAGATGAGCAGAGAGCTACAGTGAGGATGGCAGCAGCCCATCCACGTCCCCCTGTGTCTACTCCAGGTGGAGCAGATGTTACTGCAACGGAGTACTCCACTAAAACATAGTATAAGACAGAGGTCCTCACATTATAGGACTTTTGGAGGGAGGACTCATAAGATGCATTTCTTTCTCTACTCCAGAAAAACCAGTTTGTTTCTTCTGTCATAGGGACACTGAATTAGGTCACCAGTCAGGTTCCCTTGCACTCTGAGCTGCACTGTGGCCCAGCCTTCCAAGGCGGTAAAATTTCACAGCATGCAGTTTCGATACCAGCCACACTTCTGACTTTATCTTTCTCTTGCCACCACGTTCCTCTTTGCCCTGGGACACTCACGCACATTTTAATTTTATTTCATTTATAAGATGCCTTAAAGTCTTCCTTTAACATTGTGAGAGATAAATGCATTTAAAAATTACAAAAAGATGGTGGTAAAAGTTTATTTCTCCCATGTACCAGTAACTGCTGGCAAGTTCCCTCCATTCTATGCGCCTCCATGATGCTGGGGATGTGGTGTCTTCTACCTTGTGGGCCTCCATTCACCTCCCCGACTGCTCCTTGGAAAATCATCCTACCCCTTCCTGTGCCCCTGGGTCTGCTTCCAGCCAGCCCAGGGGAAGAAAAGAGGCAGTGACAGCATGCTCCCCATTTAAAGGGCACATCTCGGGTGGCATGTATCACGTCCACTAGACTTGGTCCCAAGACCACTGGCTACCTGCAAAAGAGGCTGGGAATTCTGTCTTTCTTCAGGGCAGCCATGTGCCCAGGTAAAATTTAGGGTTCTATAACTTAATAAACAAGGCGATAAAGAGAAGGAAATGAGAGATATTTAATAGTCTTAACTTCTTACACTGAGTTAATAGAAAATACATTTGATCTCTTCCTCCCATTCCTGGCACAGAGCTCCTGAAATTCCTATAATTTCCTAAGTAATAAGAACACTAGGAGCATCTCTTGTTCTAATGAGGTGGCTCTGGGTGGGCGCTGGTCCCCAGAAGGACCATGATTAAAAGCTTGGGATTTTCAGCCCCACCCCCATCCTCCGGAGAGGAGAGAGAGGCTAGAAAGGGCATCGATAATTGATCATGTCTACATGAGGAAGCCTCTATAAAATCCCAATACTAGGGGGTTCAGAGAGCTCCAGGTTGGCAAACACATCCACATGAGGAGGGCAACACACCCCAACCCCACGGGGTCAGATCTCCTGCATTCTGGACTCTTTGGGACCTTGCCCTGCAAATTTGTTCATCGGGCTGTTCATATGCATCCTTTATCATATCTTTCAATAAACCGGTAAATGTAAATAGTGTTTCCCTGAATTCTGTGAGCTGCTCTAGCAAATTAGTAGAACCCAAAAAGAGGGTCGTGGGAACCTCCAATTTGTAGCCAAATCAGATAGAGGCTGTGGGTAACGTGGGGACCCTGTGATTGGCATCTGAGGCGGGGTGGGGGCAGTCCTGTGGGACTGAGCCTTAACTGTGGGGTCTGGCACTATCTCCAGGCAGACTGTCAGAATTGGGTTAAGCTATAGGACACTCAACTGGTGCTGCAGAGAATTGCCTGGTGTGCGGAAAACCCCACACACATTTGGTGACCAGGGCAAATGGTCAGAAGCAAAATGCTCTATGTGAGACTGAAGGTGACACATGGGAGGGAAATACACAGACAAGGAGAACAGGGGGGTTTTCCTTATATACCTACCTTATAGTTTCAGGAGGATCCTTGAAGGAGGGGAAGACAAAGCTAGGAGCCCAGTCTTGCACACGTTAAACCAGGGTCTTAAGCACCCCGGCTAAAAGCAGGCTCTTTTTGGGGCTGGGGAGGGTTCAGGGGAAAAAGCGTTTGTTGGTTTGATTTGGGTTTGGATGGGCCTGGGCCTGGGCCTGGGGCGTTGCCTGCTCTTCTGCGGTAAAGGGCTGCTTGAGGGAAGCCAGGGCTGGACCCTCAGGATGGTGCAGGCTTCTGCCTCCGTGGGGAGGGGCCTGAGGGCCCAGGCCCAGGGCCAGCTGCTCCCAGCTGCTGGTGGTGGCCCCAGACTAGCTGAATGAAAAATGAGGGCCTGGGAGGGGCGGACCAGGGATTGTCTGGTCTGCTGTGGGGCTGTGTGTTAAGGCAGGGTCACACCCCAAGGACAGGAAGGGCTGCTCTCAGGGAGGAGGCAGGAATGGGGTCCAAAAGGCGTGACCTGAGGTGGAAACACACTTCTTCCCTCTGTGGGCAACAGGAATGGAGATGGCGTTGTGGGAGCTTGGGGCCCGAGTGAGCTCTCTGGGTAAGCTGGTCCTGCTGCGGGCTAACAGGTAGGAAACAGGCAAGAGGGTGCTTCCCAGGGGCCTGGTGTGGGTCCCGTGGGGCCTGGTGGGCTGTCCCCTCTCTCACTGAGTCACCCCATGGAATAGGACTTGTTAGCTCTTCCCAACCCTCTAAGAAGGCCTTGGGGAAGCTTCAGCCTGGTTGCTGAGGTACAAGGGTGCAGGGAAGGGCCCCTTCATGAGGGGTTGGAGTGGACTCGGGGAGATGGAGACCCCCTACTCCAAGGCGGAGTGGAGCCCTGTGGGGTAGCCTGCTCCCCAGATCATGCAGAGAAGGCCCGAAAGAGAGCTATGGCCCCAGTGGGCCCAGTGCCAACACCCAGAGCCAGGAACTCACTGCGGGCGCTCTGAGGGGCAAGTTACACTGCAGGCAGAGGAGACCCTTAGGTCTGGGAACCGAGGGGAATGCAATTCCAGCTAGCTGCGTGACCTCGGGCAAGTAAACTCCTCTGCCTCAATTTCCTTTTTCATCAGCAGGGATGAAAATAGCCGGGCTAAGGGAAGAATTAAATGAGATAAATACATGGGCAGGGCGTGGATCCCCACCCAGCTTCCAGTTAGTACTTAGTGAAGCAGTTTCTTACGAGCTGATCCCTCTCAAGGGGAGTTTGGGGTGGCTTCTGTAAGATCATGTCCCGAAGGGAAGAGAAGGGGTGATGGGCTTCAAGGAGACGAGGTGGGAGGGATTTCATTGCCCCAAAGGACGGCGTATAGAGAGGATTGAAGATGCTTCTAGATGAGTGGAGGCTGGGCCAGGGACCCGGCAGAGAGAGGAGGGAGCTTTGAGGGGGTCTATGTGACACAGAGGGGCAGAGCCAGGCTGGGTAGGGGCTTGGAATGCCAAGAAGAGAGTGACATGTGGGGTAAACTGAGGTGACAGCAGGTAAGTGAAGTCATGGCGTTTGGGACATAGGGAGCTGGGGGTATTGGTGGAAGGGGGGCATCCAGAGTCCTGCAGGGTGAAGGTAGGGGTGGAGCGCTGGGCCAGGGGAGTCTGTGGGGGGACGCAGAAGACACAAGATGGTGGAAGATGGGGCCCCACCCCAGGTCTGAAGTGCCAGCCTGGGGCAACCGCTCTGCGGAGGTCCAGGACCAGCCTCTGCGCTGTGCCCTCTGGCCCTACGCCAGCACAGGCCAGCGAGGGGGGCGGGGCATATTTGCAGAAGGAGGCTGAGCTGCATCACAGCGGGTCCCACTGTCTATCCTGCTCACTGCTCTGCATCTCCTGGGGTCACCCTGCAAACCTCTCACACCCCTAACACCATCTCTGCCCCTGCTTTCGGAGTCCGTCTCTCTCTGGGTGCCTGGCTCCCTCAGGGCCAGGCACCTCACCCCAGCACCAGGACCTTCAGGGCCGCTGCAGATGGGCAGAGAGACGGGGTGCTGCTGGTCAGGACCTTTATTGGCCCTGAGGCCACTTACTCACCCACCAAAAGATGCTGTGATCAGACAGGGTAGGGGTGTCCTGGATGGGGATGGCGGGGAAGCAGGTGAGGGGCCGACACCAGGGCTTCAGAGGTGGGAGGGGGCGAGGGACGAGGAGCTCTCCAAGAAGGCAGATCAGGTGGGAGGGCGCGGTCACATCTGGAGGCCAGGGCTTCCCTCTGGAGGCCTCTCTTCAGTACTCGAAGGTAACTGTCTTGACCCGCAGGTACTCATTCAAGGCCTCCTCTCCTGCAAGGAGAGTGCCACTGGGGAACAGGATGCTCGCAACAGCTCCTCCCTCCTCCCTGTGCTGCACCAAGCCCTGCACTATGTTAGGTCGTGGATCTGTGCAACCATGGGGGTCAGCCCTGGGTTGGACCCAGTTACAGATGAGACACTGAGGTCTGGGTGGGTCAGGCCCAGTGACAGAGCAGGCAGTATACCAGCCCAGGCACCAGAATACCACCAATCTGGGGCAACCTTTCCAGAAACTTCCCTACTCTGACTACCTCTGCTCTAGGGAGGACAGCCCATTTGGCTCAAGGGCAGCCGAGAGGCTCGCTGGATGCCCTCCTGTTACCCAGACGTGCCAGCCCATCCCCTCTACCCAGTGCTGGTCTCCAGCTAGTTCCAGATCATGGTGAGACTGGGAGTCGGTGCTCACAGGGCCCCCCAATCTCAGCTGTGTTCTGTGGCTGCTGAGTCTGACCCCACAACCAGCACGTGGGGACTATAGGTGCCTAACAGCTCCCCCACCCACTGAGGCTGGCTGCAGGAGCCACACGTCACCAGCTGGGGCCCACTGGGGTCCTGCGCCTGCCCCAGGTGGGCTGTTTGGAATGCCTGTTTATGAGTGCAGGATGCAGGGGACTGGGGTGGGGAGCTGGGGCAGTTCAGGGGGCAGAGTCATAGTGCCAGAGATCATATCCCTAGGATATCCTGGGGACTTGGCATTCAGTCTCCTGGACCGTGATGGCCCTTGTACATTTCCATGGAGGACACCAAGAAGGTGGCCCTGGGAAGGCAGGAGGTGGCAGACAAGGACAGAGGGGGCAGTGTACGTGTGTGAGTGTGAGCCCCGCCTGTGTACAGTGGGTGGTGTCAGGCTTTGCCAGGTGTTGATGGGGCTCCTCCTGAAAGCATGGGGTTTTCTGCAGTTGTGAAGGATGGGCAGGAAAACAAAATGGAACAGCAGCTGCCCTTTGGTTCCAGCTCAGCCTGAGCCTCCCTGAGAACCTGAGCTGAAGGGCAGGCCCTAGGGGGGTGGAAGCCTCTGAGAGACAGTGTGCTGCTCCCCACCACACTCAGCATCAGAGCTGCAGTCCCTACCCGGGGCTAGTCCCCAGCTGCCGGCCTCCCTGTGGCAGGATGGGGAGAGCAGGCTCCTCCTACGTCACTCAGCAGCCCACGGAAAGCAGAGGGCAGGGACAGAAGCCCACTTCCTCCACAGGCCAGGCCTGTGCTCCACTCCCTGCCTGGGTGATGTTGCCTCTACAATGGGGACTCACACTGCCCCACTGGGCGCTCTTGGCCCCCACAGCTTCCCCTCTCTCTGAGGGTGAAGTCTGAGCCCGGATGGTGGTCCCCAGGCCTCGGAAAGCTGTCCCTGCCTGACTCTCCAGCCTCCTCTCCTACCTCCTCCCCACCCTGGGCCCACACCAGCACTCGGGCCTCTCTCTGCAGCAACAGGACCGTAGCTGGCTCTCCCAGGACCTGCCCTCCCCTCTGCCAGAAACACACACCCTCAGGTGTCTAGGGCCGGCTCCTCAACCACTCAGGTGTCAGCACAGGTGCCACCTGCTCAGGAAGGCCCACCCGAGCTCTGGCGAGTCACCCTCCCCCGACCTCACCGTGTCACCTTGTATCACCGGCTTCCAGCACCTTTGCTTTCTACTTGCTTGCTGCCTTTGTGGTCGCCTGCCCCTCCCTGTAAGAAGTGAGTCCCTCCACTCCTGGCTCTGGGACAACAACTGGCACCGAGTGGCCTAAACAGGTTTTCAGAGCTAGGTTACCCAGGTCTTTGCCAAATCCAGACTGCTTGAACCCTCCGAAGGGGGCGGCCACGTCGGTCTTGTTGTATGTGTTGACAAACACGGTGCCTGCCTGCAGCTTGTCGCTGACGTATAGGGCCTTGTTGATGTCCCTGGTGAAGACGCCAGAGGCCAGACCAAATTCTGTGGCGTTGGCCCGGGAGAGCACAGCATCCACATCACTGCAGGGAAGACCCAGGAAGAGCTCTGTGAGTGAGGTAGGGGCAGAAGTGGGGCACAGACGGACCCGCAGCCCCTGCGCCTCAGGGGGGTCCAGCCTCCCCAAGCTCCCCGTCATGCAGGACCTTGGAAGGAGAAGCATACTGGGCCCACAGCAAGTGAGGCGGCAGAAGGCAGCAGAGGGAAGAGGAATGAACAGGAGCAGAAGGCCATCCACACATGGTTGGCCATGAGGACCCTGCACCTTACAGATGGCAGGGAGGGGCCCCAGAGGCGGGGCACGCTGGGCCCCCAGCAGCCTCTGGGCTTTCCCCAGGGAGCCACACTGGGGGTGGATCCCCGCCACACATCATGGGCTTGCAGACCTAGCACAGTCTTGGCTGGCAGCTGATATGAAAGTGTCTCATTCTCATATGATCGGCATATGATGACAGTTTCCGTGACTTCTTGGTGGTTGGAAGTATAGTGCGTGGAAGATGGGGAGCCACTCTGTAACCTGCTCTAAGGCGCTACTGTGAAGAGTAACATTCAGGAAAAGAGCCTGCAGCAGAGGAACTATGGCTACAGAGCCTGATCCCTCTCCCTTTAAACCCAGGCTGGCCTTGGGGATTCACTGGATGGACAGGACACACAGAAGAGCAGTTCTGGGATTTCTGAGGCTGATCAGTGGACCTTAAGGAGCCTAGCAGCTTCTGCTGGCCTCTCTGGGGGGGCAGGTGCCAGGGAGAACCTGTGGGGACCCCATACGGCACAGAGATGGGGAAGCCCCTCAAAGCCTGACCAAACTGCAGATTCATGAGGGAAATAAATAATTGTTGCTACTCCAAGCCACTGAGGGCTGGGGTGGTTTATCACATGGCAGTGGATAATTAGACCAGAACCCAGCATGCCGTGAGAGACATCAGAGGGACGGGGAATGCTCACAGGACCCCAAGCCCTGCTGGCCCCCTGGGGCTTTCCTCACCTCTGCAGTTGAGGATCCACAGGTGGTCAAGACGTGTCCACAGTCCCCACCTCATCTGGGTTTTCAGGTGGGCCCAAAGACCGCCCCCGAAAGCTCATGGGAAGACCCCAGTAATGGTGTGCAAAAGAATCAGGAGACATAAGCAGGACCCCCTACCCGTCGGCAAAGCGAGAGATGATCATGATGGGCCCAAAGGACTCCTCCTTGGCTATGAACATGTGATCTTCCACATCCGTGAAAACAGTTGGCTCAAAGAAGAAGCCTGTGGGGGAGACAGAGGTCGTGGGGTGCAGGAGGGCTGTTCTCTGGCAGCCCGGCCTCTCCCTGGCCATGCTTGGGTCCCACCAGCCACCATACACACATCCCGCTCCAGCAATACAGGTCATGACTCCCATGTGGGGCCTACCACATTCTGCAGTGGCTTTCCTGCCCTGAACGTGTGGTGCACGTGGTCCGCACGGCCCTTTCAACAAAATGCTGCTGAGGAACATGAGGCTAATGGCCAGAGCTGGCCTGTGATGGGGCTGAGATTTGGACCCAAGTCTGCCCCATGCTGAAGCTCAGGACCATGACAAAGACCTGGGTTTTTCTGGTGACATTTAACCTGAAAACATATCTGGAATTCTTCAGCTGGTGCAGCCCCCCAGGTGGTTTTCCATCAGCACCAGTGGAGGGCAGTGGGTGGAGGGGATTTGAGCGCTGGACCTGATGGCCTCCCGTCTCCTTCCTGGCACCTTGGTGTTGACCTCCAGGTGCAGGGTTGAGAGCTCCGGGCCAGGCACAGCCTCCCTATCTGTCGCTGAGTGCCTGCCACCCCTCCCATCCAGGCTACCACCCCTCCATGCCCGGGTTGCTTGGCCAGAACCATTTCTGACAGCACAAGTGCCTTCCCTGACTCTGGCTCCTCCAGACACAGCCCAGGTCCCTGGGCCCCACTGGGCTGAGACTGCATCTGGCCCAGTTTAGGGGAAATCAAGAGGCTTAAAGTTTTCTCTCTCTCATTTTTAGAAAAACAAAAAAATGTTTTAAACCTTTTAAAGTAACTTAACAAAATATTTTCACACATTTATAAATTATATTTTAACTTCTATTACCATTTTGCAAATGTGTGTTATGTATAACACAAGCTGACTGATGCTGTGTGGCCTGTAGTCAGTCTGCAAACAAGCTGCTCCTTCTCTACGCTGTGCAGGCGCCATGGGCCGGGGCTGCCGCCGGGGCTTCTGAGTCTCCCGGCTTCCCATTGGGTTTGGCCACTAGGAGGCAGCCCCTGTCTCACAGCTCAGCCCCTCGCAGGCTCCCTTCACTGGCTGCCTCAGGGCAGGGTGGTACTGATGGCTTCCCACTCTTCCTGGTGCCTGGGGGGCACTGCCCATAACTGCTCAGCAGAGTGACTTCACTTCTCCCTGTCCCATGAACTCTGGCCTTGTAGACACCCTAGTCTAGTGGGGGCAGAGATGGGATAAGCAGACAGTGAGAGGACAGTGCTAATAAAACTGTTGACGTGTAAGGTACCAGGGAACACCTATGGGCTGTGTGTTGATGTCACTTGAGCTGAATGATGAGGTCACTGGGTGGGGGCCCCCAGGAGGTCTTGGCTGCTCACAGGAGCAGCAAATGCACAGAGGAAGAAAATGCGATACAAGAAGCAAGTGTGGGTCAAGGGCGAGCAAGTTGGAAACAGATCATGAAAGACCCTGGGTGCAAAGTTAAGGGGTTGAGATTCCACTGCAGGGGGATGGTCACTGTGGAAGTGTTCCAACACTGGGGGATCTAACCAGGCCTCTGGCAGCTACCTAAGTAGAGGATCGGTGGGGTTCAAGAGGTCCTGCAGGAAGCAGCCATGCGGGCCCAGGCAAGGCAAGGGGCAGAGTTGGCATGATGGTGGCAGGGATGCAGGGAAGAAAGATTCCTAGATGTAAGACACTCGGGCAGTTAATTAAAAGTAGGGGGTCAAGAGGAGGCAGGAGTCTAGGATTATTCCTTCCTTTTCTCCTTCATTCCATCAGCTTAACTCAGGCTGGGTGCGAGGCTCGTGCTGGCATGAAGGACTTGATGGTGTAGAAGACAGACATGTGTCTGCCCCCAGCCCTGTGGAGCACTCATGGGGAAGCAGCTCGAATAGTCCAAGCCTGCGGCTCTGTGACTCAATCAGATGGAAAATTCTAGAGAGGCAGTTTAGGGGCAGGCAGAGGCTGGGGGACACTGTGATGATGGGATGGATTCGGTTCCCGCTCAGTGTAAAGGGCCTGGTGGACATGCAGGTGGAGGTGTCCAGGTGGTCGGGTGGTCTGGGTGAGCAGGAGCCTGTGTAGTGATATTTGGGTGAGTCTGAGCCATCACAGGAGGCGAGGTCTCCCAGGGAAAGCGTCTACCACGGGAAGTGCTCCAAGCTCAGGACAGGCCTGAGGGTGCACGCCCATTTAAAGGACAGGTGGAGACATAGGTTCCATCAAAGAGCAACTGCTGAGAAGCAATGGCCAAAGTTGTGAAACCATGCAATCCATGGGAGGAAAGAATGTCAAGGATGCCGTCACGTTCACGGTAAATCACAGTCCACTCTGGCTCGGGTTAAACCGGCACTGACTGGATTTCAGCTATGGTGTCTTCACCTAGACAGTGTCCCCCCTGGTCTGACAAGTCTCCATAGTCAAGGCCACTGCATCCAAGGTCCCAAAGGCGGCCTGAGGCCAGGCTCTGTGCCACCTAGCCTTCAGGTACGTGCAGGTGGAGCTGGGCAGGAAAGCGGAGGCCATGCTTCACGCTGCCTCAGTCTACCCAGTGGGCTGAGAGTGCTCTGACTGACCTGGCCGGGGGACTTGGTTCCCACCACACACCAGCGTGGCCCCTTCCTTCATGCCATGCTGGCAGTACTCCATCAGCTTCTGTAGATGGGCCTGGTGGTTCTGTGGCCCGTGGTTGGTGTCCCGGTCTAGAGGGTTGCCGATCTTCATCTTCCTCACCTCTTCCACCTGCAGGAAGTCCTCCCACTAAGGTTCTGCTTGAGCACTGAGGTTTCTCATTATGGTCCAAGCCTGGCCTACCTCCCATGTTTTCACTTTTGGGGACTGACTGCTGTCCCCTGGAGAAAGCCCACATGCCATATTCTGGCTCTGAGGATGGTCCGTATTCTGATTCCAAACCTGCCTTCCGACAACAGGCGATGTAGCCTATGTGCTTGGGGGCCTGAGCCTAGCATCAGTCGGGCTGGGGAAGGAGGTGTGCAGGGGTATGGGTGAGCAGGGATGTGGGTGGGCAGCACAGGCTGTGTCTACACTGGATCTGCAGCTGGCAGAGAAGCCACAGGAACACTCAGCCAGGGTGCTCAGGCTATGCGGTGGCATAGGGGGACAGACCAAAGGGGAGTGCAGGGTCCTGGGCCTCGAGTCTGCCCATTCTACCTGTCCAGAACCCAGCTGTAAGGCCCCCTCCTCCAGGAAGCCTTCCCTGTTGCCTTGGCCAACATAAAAGTAAGTTTAGGCTGTGCGGCCTGGAGATGCCATCCTAGGTCTCCTTAATGGTTGTGCCAGATGCTATCTGATGATTCTGGGGGGTGGAGAGTCAGAAAAGCCCCCAGTGAGTGGGAGGTGCTGTGCTAAGGGAAGGGACTCAGCTAGACACAACAAGCGGGAGGCAAATAGCAGATTTTCTGGGCTCCGGGCTGTAGTCTGCCCCTTCCATTTTTGTCACCTGTACCCCAGTTCTTTCCTTGGTTTCCTACAGCCGGATAAGGTCCTGTCCTCCCTCATCACGGTCAGGCCTCGCTGGCTACCACCTTGTTCTCTGGGGCTGGGATGGGCCGCTTTCCTGTTCAGGCTTTGCACCCCCAGCCAGGCCTAATTGGACACAGGAGAGACACAGCCCCCCCAGGACCACCCTCTACCTCCCCACCAGGAGCCCCTTAGCTCCTGTGACCATCCTGAAGGGGCTCCCCACCCCAGGACCCCTACCACACTCCACTTCTCTGCTCCTGCCTGGCCTCCCAGCTGCTCTCCGCTGCCCGGGCATACCTAGGGCGACCCTGCTGAGTGTCCTGGATGTGCATGTCACTTACTGTGTTTGGGACCTGTGATGAAGCCAGCAATTCATGGGATTCTGACCCCCCCCGGGGGAGTCACCTAGCTCTGTGCTTCCCACAACCACATCTGCTCTGTGTCCCCCCTCTCAGGCCCTTCACCCCACCTCTAGGTGGCCCAGGTCCAGCTATGCCCTTGCTGGGTAGCTCAGCCAGGCTGGCCAGCTCCCAAACTAGAGGAGGTTGTGCAAATGGACATGAATGTACTCATTCTTTGCTCGAACTTCGTGAGTTCCACAAGACCTCCAAACTTCTACTCCCACTTGGGAGTCCTGCCCCTGGCCCTGCATGTGCCTAAGTACAAGCTGCAGAATGAAGGACCACAGGGATGAAGACCAGCCATCCCAGTGCAGCCACCAAGCACCAGGTGCCTCAGGGGACCTGGCAACAAACTGCAGACTGCGTGAGCGAGCTCAGGTGAACCTGGGCTGGTGCCCACAGAGCCAACCCATGGGACTGTGGGCTGCATGAAAAGCGGTCATGTCAAGCCACTCTTTGGAGAGTAGTTGTCTCCCAGTAAAAGCTGTCACACCCCCTTCTAGAAAACCCATCCCTTTCCTCAGTGCCTTTCATACTTTCACCCATTATTCCAGATCTTCTTCCATAGTAACTCCTTCCTAACAGCCGCTCCACCTCCACCCTGTTCCAGACCTACTCTCTTTTTACCAGGTTGCTAAATACAGTTTGTTTAAGCCTGCACATACGTAGAGGTCATGCTCCCAGCCTCCCCTCTTGTATCTGCCCCAGGATGTGGGGGCGGGCTTGGGACTGACACTGAGTCGCAAGCTCCCCAAGCTCTGCTATCATGGAATGGTCAGGGTGGCCAGGGACCAGTCGCACCAACAGTGAAGTCTGCCATCTTTTCTAACTGAGTCGGTGGAGAGAGAGATTACCCTCTGTGGTTCTGTGCTGTCAGCACCCCACTTCTGCCCTTCCCTGTGGGCACCTGCCGTGCAGTGGCCATGACAAAGGGCTGCTGATGGTCCCCAGGAGCTGACTAGGGCTGAGCTCCTCCAGCCTGTAGGCAGCCCACAGCCAGTAGGGAACAGAGGCCTGGCCCCTTGATGCCCAGAGTACACCTGAGTGGTGCCCTTCATGCTCCAGAGCTCTGTCTGTGGGTCGGGCCAAGGCTAGGAGTCACCTGAGGCCACATCCTCCGTCCTGTCATCTCATGGTCCTTCCCTCCTTCCAGGATCCACCTGAGAACCCCCCTCAGTAAGCCTGAACCCCAGCTCAGTCTCTACTGCTAGGGACCCGCCTGAAGGCAGGCTCTTTTTGGTTACACCAGTATAAGCCACAGGTTTGCTATTTCTTGCTGAAATAATAAAAAAACAGTGAAGACTTGATACAGCTCCTCTGAGAGGCCCCTGGTTCAGGTGGACAGTGCCTGTCTCCACCTGGCACAGCCTTGGCCCCCACCCCACCCCCGGCAGCCCTAGTGTCTGTCCCGGCGACCCCACAGCTCTGAGCCCCTGTGGCAGAACTTACCACCTTCTGCACGAACTGGTCGTGAATCGAGTCTTCTATGAAGAGCCGGCCCGCTGCAATGCAGTTCTCACCTTTGTTGAAGAAGACGGAGCTCATCCCCTTCAGAGAAGAAGCGAGAATGCTGGGTTACAGCCCTGGAGCACCAGCCCAGCTCCCTGCTGAGCCCAGGTACCCTCTCTCATAGGGAAGGGGAGGCATGTGTGGGTCCTGACCGCCCACAGCAGGCCGGGCAGGTAGGTGCTGGGCACACAGTTTCCACTCACTCCCAAGTCACCTTGGGAGGAGAGAGGGTGACCCCCACCCCTGGGGGACCCCCGTGCCCATGTTGTAGAGTGCAGGACAGGAGGCAGAGGAGCCGGGTGAGCCTGGAGACCCTACAGGCTGGGAAGGCTCCCTGCGGTAACTCTTGAAGCTGAGCCTGGTGAGTCCATTAGCATGGAGTAGGTGGCCAGCCCCTGTCTTGGGAGGGACAGGGTGACAGCCCAGGCTCTGGGGAACTCCTGTCTGATGTCCAGAATAAATGTCCTCAGAGGCTCAAGGGAGCCTGCATTTTAGACCTGGGAGCCCTGGGCGAGGGGTGGGGAGGAGGGAGCATGGCTGCTCTGGGTCAAGCTCAGCTCTCCTGGAAGTTGGGGTCAGGCTGCCAGTGACATGCCCAGGCCCCTGGCCCAGCACCATTGACCTTGGTGCTGAGGCCAAGACCTCTGGGCCGGCAGACCTGCCTCCCTCAGTTTCCCCATCTGAGGCTGGATTGCCTTTCATGTCCATGCCGGGTGTCACCTCGTCCTCCAGGGCACACCAGGACTTAGATGAGATGGGGGCATTTCTGGTTACCTGGTTGAACACAGCCTTACTGGTTTGAAGGAAACCAGGCATGGAGGGAAACTGAGGCATAGCAGTGACAGTGACAATACAGACATTAGGACAACTGACACGTGGCACCTCCCATGTGCTCTAAGCCCTTTAGACACAATAGCTTGTTGAATCCCTGTAAGGGAAGGAGGTGGTACTAATATTCTCCCCACACATGGGCGAGAGCACATGGCCCAGGAAGGTTAAGTAACTTGCCCAAAGCTGCCCAGCAAGTCAATGGCAGAACTGGGCAAGTGTGGACCCAGGAAAAGGCCGGGGTGAGGGGCTGCTGGCTGCTGCCTGTGGGGCTCTGCCTGAGCTCAGGGTCTGATTTGTTCTCTATTGGACAGGGAAGTCGCCTTGCTGATTTGACAGGAGATGGAGCTGTGGCTCCTGTTTCCCAATTTGTGAAGCAGAGCTCAGTAATCCTGCCAGTTCTGAAGCTTCTTGAGAAGTTTGTTTGGGATGGCACATGTCATGCCCCCAGGGCTCCTTCCTGCCAGTCTGGGCCTCTGGTGGCACTGCAGTCAGGCTGTGTGAGCTGTGGAGTCAGGGAAGGCCCTGTGTTGGCCCAGCCCGGTCGGCCTCACCATCTGCACCGCCTTGCTGAGGTCACAGTCAGCAAAGATGATGAGGGGCGACTTCCCGCCCAGCTCCAGGGACACCTTCTTCAGGTTACTCAGCGCACAGCTGGAAGGAGAGAGGTTGCTGGGGCTGGGACCCTGGGACACAGGGCACCAGGGGCCGAGGGCAGCCCCACACATGCTTTACTGGACACAGTAAGCAGAGGCTAGGGGAGGCCCTGTGAGGCCAGGCACCGGCCTTCTCCCCCAGCCCAGGCAGCTACCGCGCTCACTGCCTCCTCCTCCAGCACCCAAGCCCGCCGCCACCACAGGCCTCTGCTCTCTGTGTCCTCATAGCTCATTCCCACTCCCTGTGGACTCTGCTCAGATGCGCCCTATGAGCATGCCTGCCCTGAAACCCCACAGAAAGTCAAGCTCCCAATTCCCCACCTGGGGGGCTTTGCTCTCAGGACTATTTGCGCTTGGCCTCACCCACCAGACCGGAAGCCCTGTTGCCGCACAGCTGATGATCAATGTCCAGCAAATAAATCCAATGCAGAACCATCCCCTGTTGGGGCAGACCCAGTGCCATAGGGGCTTCCACACCTCAGATAGTTAGCAGTGATGCAAACAGAGGGAAGCTGGGGTCCTGTGCAGGCTGCATCTCTGGGCACAAAATGGACCCAGCAGCCCAGTGTGGTCAGCAGGACTCCCAGCTCCTCTATCTGCATCAGTCACTCAAAGTGCAGATGCCTGAAATCCCCCCCAGAAATCCAGCTCAGTAGGGTGGGGTCCAGGCATCCGACAGTCTTGGGCCAGCCAGGACTATGAGCTACTGCAGCCTGACCCTGTCAGCCTCTCCAAGCTTGTTGGCTATGCAGACCAGAACCACTGAGCATGTACACTTCCTGGCGGGAAACTGGGCCCTAGAGTGCTCAGGTTTGGCCCAGGTCATATTGTAAATTAGAGACAGAGCCAGGAGCATGAAGGGTGTTCTAGACCAGCGCTCGGATGATGCCTCCAGTATTAGCCCCATGTGTAATGCAGCTTTCTTAGTGGCCACACTGGAAGAGAACTAAAAGAATCCGGTGGAGATCCTTCCAATGTATTTAATCTAACCCAGTGGATCAAAGATGTCATTTCAAGTTGTAATCACCATAAAGAGTTACTAACATGAGACCTAATACATTAAATTTTAGGAATTGATGGGCCTTTTACACTCCAGGTAATCCTAACTCAGGGCAGCCCTGTTCAAGCAGCGTGTGTGCCCAGCCTGGAATCGCAGTGAGTCCCCAGCACCCCACTGCCTTGTGAGCCCCACAGGCAGCCGCCCCCACTTCACCAAAGGGCTGGTTGGAGACCCAGACACAGGATCAGAACCTACACACCTGGCCTCGGGGGGGCCGCTGCACACATGGAGGCTGGAGAAGCCCTGTCCATGTCCCACCCTGTGACCAGAGGCCACAGCTTCTGAGGTAGTGGTGGCCTCCTCGCCCAACCACCTACCTTTCCATGATGCGCTTCCCCACCTCTGTGGAACCTGTGAACCCTATTTTCCGCACATCGGGGTGTTCAGAGAGTCTCTGGCCGGCCAGCGAGCCTGTGGGTAGGGGGCGGGGCAGTGAGGGCAGCCCCCATGGTGCTGAGTGGGAGGCACAGCCCTGCCACCCTTGCACGTTCACCAAGATTGTGCACCCAGCTGCTTAGTGCCCTCAGCGGCTGGGCTATGGGGCCTCCCTGCTGTGGGCAGAACAGCATCCCCTCAAAATTCATTGTGCTGAAGCTCTAACCTGAGCACCTCCCATGTGGCTGTTTATAGAGACAGGGTCTTTAAAGAAGTGATTAAGGGGACATGAGGCCGTTAGGGTAGGCCCCATCCAAGCTGACTGGTGTCCCTGTGAGACGAGGAGATTAGGATGTGGGCACGCATGGCCAGATGACCACGTGTGGACACAGGCAGAAGGCAGCACCTGCCAGCCACAGAGGGCGGCCTCAGAGGCACCCTGCCGGCACCCTGACCTGGACTTCAGCCTCCAGAACTGCGAGAAGCAAACGTTTGTTGTTTAATCCCAATGTTTGTTTCACTTTGCTGCAGCAGCTTGAGCTAATAGACCCCAAATATGGCTTTCCACCTATCAGGGTAGAGCCCAAGGGTGAGAGCACCCAGACTTCCAGCTCTGCAGGGCTCTCCTGCAGAGAGCTAGGGGCAGCCTGGCCTGCCTGTGGGGGCGGAGGTGCTCCTGATGGCCTGCCCTGGGGTGCAGCCTGGCTGGGAGAGCCCCAGCATGTACCGCCCCTCCTGTTTGGGTGCCCCCTCCGAACACCCTCCAGCCCCAATGTGGTTAGTTCCGGTTCACCCCTCAGATCTCCATTTCAATGAGACCTCTCCCCAGACTCACTATGGTCTCTCTCGCCCCCTCTTCTGGCTCCTGACTGCGCCCTCCTCACTGGCCTCCTATTTCTCTGACGGCACTTTCCCCATGTCCCTTGCTCACCACTTTTCCTCCACCCAACCTTAAAATAGCCGGTGCCTTTGGCTCCGTCCTGGGCTCCCCTCCCCTCTCCTCAGCTCACACCGTCTCGTCTGCTGATCTCACCCTGGCTCCCCTCTTAGAATGCCACCTTCAGACACATCGCCGCCTAAATCCGTCTGGGATCCAGATCGGTCTACCGCTCCTCTGCCTGCCTCGTGCCTTCACTCGGACACTCTCAGATTCAGCATATTTGAAGCTGAGCCCCGAGTCTTGCCCCAGGCCTGCTCCTCCTCTGAGTTCTCCATTTCAGTAAAAAGCCAGTTGTTCAGCCAGGAACTTGGGGGTCAGTCTTGATACCTCTGTTTCCCAGCCCATCAATTGTCCCACTGCTTTTCCTCCATCCAACCAAAAAATGGAAATAAAAAGGTTCATATAGGAAAGTCCATAAACATGTATTTTCTTTTCTTTCTTTTTAGTTTCTTTAATATATATAAAATTATACATAAAGTTATAGGAATGTAGTGTTGGGTTTGTAACATATATAGAGGTAATGTATGCACAAAAATAAGTGATAATAGCACATAAAGAAGAGAAACTAGAGCTACATAGGAATAGTGCTTGTATGTTTCACTGGAATTAAGTTAGCATAAATCTGAGGTAGATTCTGATAAATCACGATATATATGGTAAGTCTTAGAGGACCTTAAAACTGTATAGAAAATAACTAAAAACTATACAGTGAAAAATTATTGAAATAACGAATATGTTGTACTAGAAAATATTTACTTAATGTGCAAGAAAGCGGTAAAAGAGGAATACAGGAACAAGAGACAGGAGACACAGAAAGCAAAAAGTAAATGGCAAACACAAATCCAACTATATCAACAATAACAGTAAATGTGAATAAGTAAAACAAGCTAGTCAAAAGGCAAAAATCGTCAGATTGACAAAAATAAGGCCCAAGTACAGGCACACCTTGTTCACACTTAGCTTTGTTGCCCTAAACAGACACCATGCTTTGTACAAATTGAAGGTTTGTGGCAACCTCTGTGGATCAGGTTTTATCAGCACCATTTTTCCAACAGCATTGCTCACTTTGTGACTGTGTCACATTTTGGTAATTCTCACAATATTTCAAACTTTTTCATGATTATATTTGTTATGGTGATCTGTCATCAGCGATTTTTGATGTTACTATTGTAATTATTTTGGGATTCCATGAATGGCACCATAGAAAATGGTGAACCTGGTAATCATTGTGTGTGTTCTGACTGCCCCACTGACCAGCCATTACCGCATGTCTCTCCTTTTCCTATGCCCTCCCTAGTCCCTGAGACACATAATTTTGAAATGGGCCAATTAATAACCCTCCACTGGCCTCTAAATGTTCAAGTGAAAAGAAGAGGCACACATCTCTCACTTTAAATTAAAAGCTAGAAATGAGTAGGCTTGGTGAGGAAGGCAGGCTGAAAGATTGGGCCTCTTGTGTCCAACAGTCAGTCAAGTCGTGAAGGCAAAGGAAATGCTCTTGAAGGAAATTAAAAGTGCTGCTCCAGTGAACACATGAATGATGAAGTGAAACAGACTTATTGCTGACATGGAGAAAATTTTAGTGATTTGCATAGAAGATCAAACTAGTCACAACATTGCCTTAAGCCAAAGCCTGACCCAGAGCAAGGCCCTACCTCTCTTCAATTCTGTGAAGGCTGAGAGAAGTGAGGAGGCTTCAGAAGAAAATTTGGAAGCTAGCAGAGATTGGTTCATGAGGTTTAAGGAAATAAGTATTTCCATAACAGAAAAGGTGCAGGTGAAGCAGCAGGTGCTGATGGAGAAGCTGTAGCAAGTTACCCAGAGGTTCAGCTCAGATGATTAACAAACATGACTACACTGCACAACAGGTTTTCAGGGTAGACGAAACAGCCAAAGAAGATGCCATCTAGGACTACTATAGCTAGAGAGGAGAAGTCAATGCCCAGCTTCAAAGCACAGGCGGACTGTCTTGTGAGAGGCTAATGCAGCTGGTGACTGTCAGTTGAAACCAATGCTCATTTCCCAGTCTGAATGATGCTAAATCTACCCTTAAGAATGATGCTAAATCTACCCTGCCTGTGCTCTAGAAATGGGTAACAAAGCCTGGATGACAGCCCACCCGTTTATAATAAGATTTAGTGAATATTTTAAGCCCACTGTTGAGATCCACTACACTGTTGAGGATCCACTAAGATTCCTTTCAAAATATTACTGCTCATTAGGGACCTGGTCACCCAAGAGCTCTGATGGAGATGGACAGTGAGATGAATGTGGTTTTCCTGCCTGCTGACGTAGCACCGATTCTGCAGCCCAGGGATCAAGGAGCCATTTTGCCTTTCATGCCTTCTAACTCAAGAAATACATTTCATAAGGCTATGGCTGCCATAGATGGTGATTCCTCTGATCGATCTGGGCAAAGTACACTGAAAACCTTCTGGAAAGGCTCCACCATTCCAGATACCAGTAAGAACATTCATGATTCATAGGAAGAGGTCAAAATGTCAACATCAAGAGGTATTTGGAAGAAGTTGATTCCAGCCCTCGTAGGTGACTGTGAGGGGTTTAGGACTTCGGTGGAGGAAAGTCACTGCAAATGTGGTGGAAATAGTAAGAGAACTAGAATTAGACGTGGAGCCTGAAGGTGTGACTGAATTGCCACAATGTCATGAGCAAACTTGAGTGGATGAGGAACTGCTTCTCATGGATGAACAGAGACAGTGGTTTTTTTGAGATGGATTCTCTTCCTGTGAAGATGCTGTGAAAATTGCTGAAATGACAGCAGAAGATTAAGAATATGACATAAACTCAGTTGATAAAACAGCAACAGGATTGAAGGAATTTCTACGGTGGGTAACATGCTACCAAAGCATCTTGTGCTACAGAGAAACTGTTCATGAAATAAGAGTCAGTGAATTTCATTGCTATCTTATTCTTAAAAATGGGCACAGCCACCCCAGCCTTCAGCAACCACCTCCCCAGTCAGTCAGCAGTCATTGACTTGGAGGCAGGACCCTTCACCAGCACAAAGATCACGACTTGCTGAAAGCTCAGATGATGGTGAGCATTTTTAGCAATATTTTAAAACTAAGATATGTACATTGATATTCATTTTAGACATATATTATAGCATACTTTATAGCATTTATAGTATTATATATACTATATATAATATATATACCATATACCATACTATATATAGTATATTATACATAATATATATCATATATATTAGCTTAACTTACAGTATATTAACATAACTTTTAATGCACTGAGAAACCAGAAAGTTAAGCTGACTCCCTTCATTGCGATACCCACTTTGTTGCAGTGGTTTGGAGCCACACCTCCACTGTCTCCGAGATATGCCTGTGATGCATACCCACATGTTTGCAGAAGTATTTTTTTCTTTCATCAATTTTTATTCAGTGATACATTTGACCATGTGCAGCTTTAACCACTATCAGTTTTATTTGGTGTGGGTTACTTTTACTAGTAACAGTTACCATGTGGGGGCCAAAGTGTCCTTAGGGTCAAGATGGTAGAGTCTAATCACCTAGGTCTTTGATTACAGCGATTCAATCTGACCCAGCTTTGGGAACATGCTGCTGCCCCCCAAAAGCTGCACACCTCCGTTTCTGTGTACCTCATTAGAGAATAGAAGAGGATTTTTCTCAAAGCTACTTCCAAGGTACGAGCCCATGGAAGCCAAGGTGAGGGTTCCAGCCATAGGGCTCATAACTAAAGGCAGATTTCCCGCTCAAGCATCCTAGCTGGGAACCAAGGAAAGAGTGTCAACAGGTCAACAGGTACCGTGTTCATCTGAACACTACTCCGTCTCTTCACCTTGGAGGTTAGTGTAGGGGAAGAGCACTGGTTGTCACCGCATAGTTTTCATTTTTCTCTTTTTCAAAAGGACAGGGAGTCAGCTTCATGTGGACAGCAACCCACCAAGCTAAACCCCTCAAGTCCTAACCTCTTGCAGTCAAGGGACCAGCTGAACGTCAGGCCAATTAGATGTGAGCAGACGATTCTGTGGGAATCCCCCACTCTGTGGGACTGTGGGGGGCTTAGATGGAGCTGACAGAACTGTGCACCTTTCAGTCCTTCCTTTTCCCTCCTGCCTGCACTGCCTCAGCACACCCTCTGAAATGCACCACCCGGAGGACACTCAAAAAAGGTGCCTAGTTTGTTCTGGGGTTTTCCTGCCTGGGGCGGCAGTGCAAGTTCTGGCCACCAGGGGCACTAGAAAACAAAAATTGGTTGGACTCGCTTTGTTGCGGCGTCTGGTGCAGCGGTATGACCAAGGTGTGCCTGCATAGGCGCGCTGCCTGCAGGAGACATGAGATGCAAACAGGCTGAGAAAAGGGTGGAACAGATAGATCACACAAACAACAACCCTGTGAGAGCTGGAGTGCCTGTGCGAATAGCAGATGAAATAGACTCTAAGGCAAAAGCTATTACGCCAGGTAAAAGGGGGCACTTATAATGATAAATGTATCAATCATGAGGTATCCTCATACCAAAGCTCTCTAAATGCTTTCCTTATTTACACCTCAAAGAAAAAAAATGAACTGAACTTTCAACTCAAAAAGTTGCAAAAATTGAAACAAACCCAGAGGAGAATGCAGAAGTAACAATGATTAAAGCAGAAAAAGAAATCAGAGTAACAATAGAACAGGTGAAGAAACTCCAGAGCTGTTTTTGAAGGAGGGATGGAGACAAGTATTTTTCACAAATTCAATCAATTTAAAAAGAAAAAGCGAAAAGTACAAAGGGGTATTAAAACAATCAAAAGGGTAGATAAAAGGTAATAATTATGGGAAACTATTAATACAACTCTATGCTAATGTTGTTAAAGGTGTTCTAGAAATGACTTTTCTAATAAACTAGACAACTAACCACAGAAAAAAACAAAAAAGCAACATACTACCGCCCCAAATACTCAGAGTCCAGAATGTTCTACAGATAAATTCTCTCAACTTCAAAGGGCAGATAATCCCCAAGTTACATAACTTATTCCAGGACACATATATACATACAAAAAATGGAAAACATTGAGGGGTGGGGTGGGTATTTGAAAACTAAAACCCTCCCAGGTGCAGGTGTCCCCCACCCTGGGAAAGGGGCTCTTCACAGCAGGCTGGCCATCCCCACCCGGCGGCTGCTCCGCCCATCAGGCCCCTCATGCTGCAGGCCCTCTTCTGAGCAAGTTCACCTCCACTGCCTGGAGCCCTGGAGCCCCAGATACCCTTGTCCAGCACCCTTACCAGATCCAGGCAGGATGTTGATCACGCCCTTGGGAATACCAGCCTTCAAGGTCAGCTCAGCAAACTTCAGGGCTGTGAGTGGGGTCACCTGAGAGGCAGGAAAGGTGTGTCAGGAGGGGTTGGGAAGTGGGGCTCTGCCTTCCCCTCCCAGCAGCCTAGGTAACAGGCAGGGAGGAGCAGCCATGGCAGGAAGACCCCCAGGCGAAGCCAAGTTTGTGTGCCCGCGAGCAGGTGCTGCCAGCCCAGCCAGCCTCCCCCACAGCTGTGGCAGGGAGCTGGCAGTGAGGCTGCTAATCATGTGTGCTTTTCTAGCAACTTTTCCTGCCAAGGTTGCAGCCCCTGGGCCAGGCCTGGGTCCCTTCCTGCAAATTCATCCCTTCCTCACTTGTCTGCACCAAGCCCTTGTGGACCACTGAGTCCCAGGGCTGCCTAGCAGGGCCCATGCTCAGAAGACTGCAGGGCGCACCCACTCCCTGCCCCCCAGGAAACCTGGCCTCCTCTGCTGTGGGGCTATGTTGGCTGCCCTGCCGGATGGGCCCTGCAAGGACCTCCATTTCTGCCCACTGCTGGAGGCTGGTCCCTCCCCTTGCCCTGCCAGCACCCCTTCCTCTTCTGGAGGAAGAGGGGGTGCACTTCTGGCCAGGTAACTTTGCTCGTCAAGCTGAGGCTGTGCGGCCCAGTGTGTGGGCCCTGGCCTGTAGGGGGCTGGGCGAGGGAGGCCTCCAGGGACAACTGTGGGCGACCTGTGAGCAGCCCCCCAGCACTAAAGGAGGAGGGGAGGATCATCTCAGAGGATTGTTGGGAGGCTTAAATAAGATGTATGTAAATTTTTATGTAATTTATTATATATGTTAAAATGCTTGAGAAGTACCTGATGGGAGAAATCCTAATGTCAGCTATTGTTACATTTGGTTGTTTTATTATGGTGATACCCTAGGAGCTGAACTGTCCCAAGGATGCTGGGAGCCTGAGACCTGCTGGGCTCACCAATGAGGTCTCACCTGCTGTTCCTCACACCCTTCAGCAAGGGGATGAGGAAGCTGAGGCTCGGGGGGAGTGCCCTCACTCCCAGGGGACCCTGCTCAGGCCCTTCCAGCCTGCCTGAGGGACCCCAACATCCCACCTCTAAGCCCCTGACCAAATGCATGTCACGTGGCTTCTCTGTGGGGCATGGGGGCGGCAGACACACAATGCCAGCTACCCTGCTCCCGCCCGGGACTTCTGTTTCTGAAGCCAAACAGGCAGCCGCAGCACCGGCTTTGCTAACAGACCCTCCGGCTGTCTCAGAGCACCTCAGAGCATGGGGCCGGGACAAGGGACACTGGTTCTGTTCTCCCGAATCTGGGCGCAGGCACCTAGTACAGCTCATCAAGTGGCTGAGGGCCAAAACACGGCCGGCCTGGCTGAGCCAGGAAGTCTGAGTGTGGCTGGCACGGCCCCTGCAGCCTCTGTGAGCGGGGCCCAGGGAAGGCCAGGGCTCCTTCCTCCCTGGGCCCAGCATCAGCGTGGGCAGAGGGGCCCCGGGCCCTGCCCAGGATGCGCCCAGACCCACCTGGGCAGGCTTGATCACCACTGTGTTCCCAGCAGCCAGGCAGGCGGCTGTCTTCCAGGCCAGCATCATCAGGGGGTAGTTCCAGGGGATGATAATGCCACACACCCTGCCATACAAAACAAGTGGGACTTTGTCTCTCCACCTAGCCTGTGCACCAGAACCCACCTGCCAGCTGCCTCGTCTCTCCCAGGCCTGATGTCCACTCCTGAGCCAGGCTCCCTGGCATGGTACCCGGGGTCCTGCTGTGGGACAGCTCATGCCTTCCAGCCCCTCTGTCCAGCAAGGAACAATGACATGGGACTCTGGGCAGCTTGATGGGAGCTGTGAGACCTAAGGACATGGCTTGGTGGTGCACCATCCCTGGCAACGTGGGAGGTGACACAGGCAGTCCTGGCTGAGAACCTGGCAGCAGGCAGAGCCCAGGAGAAGACGGGGGCGGGGTGCGTGTGTGTCACAGGGTGGGCTGGGAGGGAGAGAGAGGGTGAGGGTCACTTTGGAGGAGGTGGGTAAGGGTCCTTCTGGATCTGAGGCCAGGGCTCCGTCCTGGGGAGAGAAGGAGGCAGTGCCTGCTCGGCATTAAGGATGGCACCTGGGTCAGCACTTCCTGGAGCCTGAGAAAGCCTCTGGCCTAGCAGCATCTCCATCAAGGGAGGCCACCCCTATCATGGTCCTGGGGACCTAGTGATGGCACACGTGGTCCAGGTAGCCATGGGGCCCTGCCTTCCCTCGACCCCTGGGAAATGGTGTTGGCCAATTAGATATGCCCGTCCACACAAGCCCCCACAGATACGCTGCTGTTGTTTTCATCACCACCCTCTCTCACCGTCACCATCAGAGTGTTTCCCAGAAGATGACTTCTGAGCTGAACCCAGCAGGGGGAAGAGCATGCGCAGAGGCTCAGGGCAGGATGGGGCTGCAAGGAGCTACGAGGCATGCGGGCTGGGCCGAGGGGGAGCAAGGTGGGGCTGGGGCAGGGGCCTGGGCTGGGGACCCCACCATCCTGGGAGTGATGGGGTGCACTAAGGGGTTAGGAAAGCCACTCCCACCCCACTACACCCAGAGGGACATAGGGGTGGAGGGAGCAGAGTGAGTTTCCAGGAAAGTAGGTAAGGTCACCAGGGAGAAGGAGGGCTGCGTTATGGGGCATCTGAGGAACAGATGTCAGAGAAGTCCACTTGGGACTGAATCATACCCCAGATTCACATGCTGACGTCCTAACTCCAGAACCCCAGAATGTTACCTTCCTTGGAAATGAAGTCAAGGCGACATGATTTAGTACATAATGTAATTAGCTGAGATGAGGTCTTAGGGAGTGGGGTGGGTGCCTGACCCACCTGACTGCTGTACAAAAGAACGCCCGAGAGGACGCAGCCATGCAGAGGGAGAAGGCTGTGCGAACGTGGGGGCAGAGATTGGGGGCAGCAGAGCTTCCACCAGACCCCCGTGGGACGGCAGGGAGAGGCCTGGGGCAGATTCTCCCTCGAGCCTTCAGGAGGACCTGTACAGGGAAAGCCTCCCTACACTGGCCCAGCTACGGTGTCTGTGTCCCACTCCGTCCTATGAGGACGGACACCCCATGCAGCGGCTGGAGGATCCAGGGCCTTGCAGACCTATGTGACGGGCAGCCAGGTGGGCCCCATCCCCTGCCCTGCACTCCCAAGCCTGCTCCCGAGGGAGGGGCTCCGAGCACCTGGCCATGCAGGGGTCTCTCCACACGGCTGACACCTTGTCTGGGTAGTTCTTTGTTGTGGGGGCTGTCCTGTGGCACCGCCTCCCTGCTGTGTCCCCTGGGGTGGGTGCCACCTCCCCCAGCCCTGCCCCTCCCCCAGGAGGCTGAAAGACAAGGCTCCTGTCTCCTCCAGGGAGGACACTGTATGAATCTGAACTCGTTTCTCTTGGCCTGAAGGACCTGTGGACACGTTCTCCTTAGGAAACACCCCACATTCCCAAAGAAGCTGAGGGCCTTTGACCACCACCCATGGTGTCCCCACCCTGTAATGGGCACAGAGCAGGTGGGAATGGCCATCGGGTGCCGGCCCTGCTGGGCCTCTGACCCATTTTAGAGAACCTGGGACGTGTGCTCACACAACGGGTTCCCCTGGTGCTGCATCTGTGCTCTGCCATGTGCTCTGCCTGGTGCTGTACCCGCGCTGTGCCATGCACTCTGCCACTCTCCTCCTCACACCTCACAGGGTTCCTGGTCAGGATCTCCGCCCACTGCAGGGCTTGGCAGTCGGGTTTTGCTGTCAGGGTGGCCCCACCCTTGTGCCCTGTGGGGCGAGGACCCTGGGTTCTGAGCGGCCACCACCAGGCTGCCTTTCACAGAGGGTGGCCTCCTGTCCCCTTCAGGTGGTGTGGGGGTGCTGTTCTCTCCCTAGGCCTTTGGGCCCCCAGATGGGGACACCAGCCTCTCCCTGCTGGGCTTAAAATGATCTCCCCAGTGCTTCCCCTTCCTGTTTCTACCCTTTGCCTCTTTCTCCATTATTTTTTCTCTGGTGCTGTGAGCTGTTCATTTCTATGTGCAATAATCATTATGCTAATTTCAGGGTAAAATTTTGTGGGCATACCATTTCCCACCATGACCCTGACAATAGAAGGCTATTGTGGGGATTAAATAAAGTTACAAAGTCTGAACATGGCTCCTGGCACAGAGTAGGTGCTTTTATCTGCTTGGAGACCAGGACCTCGAGGACAGGCTCTGTTATCAGGTTTGGTCACCACTGAATCTCCAGCGCCCAGAATTGCTGGCATATGGTAGTGAATAAACAGCTGTTCAGTGCATACATAAATGGGGAGTCACGCACGTCCCACAGGCCTGTGGTGTGAGAGGCATCCAGCGAGGGGCCAATGGCTGCCCTGCCACTCACCCGATTGGCTCCTTCCTGGTCAGGGACAGGTTGCGGTTGGGTCTGGCCTGGTTGATGGGGATGGTGGAGCCCTGCAAGAGGCACAGAGGGTAGGCGGGGGCTCAGTTTCCTCACCGTTTCTCCTCTGGGCAGCCAGACTGGGCCTGGGTCCAGGAGAACAGGCTCTGCATCCGATACCCCTGACCGCCGGGGGACAGACCAGAACCTCCAGCTCATGTGTGGCAGGGACACCTGAGGAGCTCAGGCCCAGGCGGAGCGGGTGGCCGGCAGGGGTGAGAGCATGCTGCACTGGGCTTGGCCGAGTCCTTAGGGAAGGGCTCTGGCTTCGACACAGGGCAGAGAACAGTGAGGGTGGGGAGCCTCTGGGGGCTGTGCTGTCCCTGGAGGCCTGGGGGAAGCGGGGAGAACAGGGTGCAGGCCCACCCCCTCATCTCAGGCCCGCCCATGCTCCTGAGCTCTGTGGGGAGGAGGGGAGTCAAGAGCCCAGATCTGGCAGGCCTGTGGGCCCCATGGCATCCGGCTTCCCTGGGGAAGGGCTGACCCACTGTTGCATGCAGCGGGAGAAACGCCAAAAATGACCACCAGGTCGTGCCCTGATTCCCGAGACCTGGTGTAGAGAACATGTAAGTTCCTGCGGCCAGGATTCTCACCCAACCCTGCTCGGCATGCCCGCTGCACATGTGTGGGCGAAATGCTATTACTGACTCCATATAAAGAGCTCCGCCCAGTGCTCTGGGCTGCACGGCTGCAGGAGAGCAGAGGCTGGAGTGGTGGCAGGACAGAGGCTGAGACAGCTGCGGGGGCAGAGAGGCCAGAGGAAGAGACTGGCTCGCTGCAGGCTGACTCGCCCTGAGGTGGACAGGATTCTAGCTTTTGACCTGCCACCATGGGAATAAAGCAGGGTATAAACCCTTTCACCCCAAGAACATTCCATTGCCATTATTTGGTCTCACCGAAGCAAGAGTGAACTTGCCTGGGGCTGAAACCCACTGGCAAGACAGGTAGGCTATGGTGAGCTAGCCCACCTGCAGAGATGTGGCATGGCTTGGTTGGCCTTGGCATGGGGAGCCAATGCAGGTGGGCCCCTTGGAACCACAGGAGCCCCTGTAAGAGCAGAGAGCTTTCTCCAATTGGTGGCAGAAGAGAGTCAGAGGATTCCAAGCTCAAGAATGACAGGCTATAATGGGGGATGGAAGGTGGGGGCAAAGACAGGTTTGCAGCAGCTGAGAGCAGCCTGGCTTACAGCCAGCAAGGGCCCAGGCCGTTAGTCCTGCAAACAGCCCCTGAGGGTTGCAGGGAAACATTTCCCCCACAGCCTCCTGGTGAAGCCAAGCCTGGCCACATCCTGACACTGACCTTGTGAGACCCTGGCCCGGAGCACAGCAGAACCTGCGCAGACTTCCCACCTGCAGAACTGTGAGCTGATGAATGTTTTCACTCAGCTGCTGAATTGTGAATTGTCAGCACACAGACGGCAGTGCTGGCCTCAGAGACCCCGCCAGCCTGGCCTGCCAGTGTGGCCCCAGTTGGTGGGTATGGGCCCAGGCCCCACCTGGATCTTGTCACACCAGCCAGCGAAGTAGCGGAAGGTCTGGATGGACATGCCCACATGGGTCTTCAGGGCCAGCGTGTACACGGCGCCCGAGTCCAGAGCCTCGATGGTGGCCAGCTCCTCCTGATGCTGCTCCATGAGGTCTGCCAATCTGGCCGAGGGGGGTGGGCAAGCGCAGGGAGGTGGGCTCAGACCTGGCCCAGGGTCACCCGTCCTCTCCAAGCCCTTCTGCAAGGAGCCAGAGGGCCTGCCCTGCGCGCCCAGTCCTGCCTCACTCAGGTGTGCAGACTCATCTTCCTTGTCTGCACACTGATGGGACACTGATGTCTACTTCACTGGATGGAGGGGAGGCTGAGGCCGTCTGTCCTCTCCTCTCTCCCTTTCTCCCTTCCCAAAATATTGATGGATCAGCTCCTTTGTAGTAGCCTCCACATGACCCTGCCGAGGAGCCCCCTAACTCTGCAACAAGGAGGTCACCGTCCCAAGAGGCCGCCATCTGTCTCCGACAGACATGGTCAGGGGAAAGCATGCTGAGCTTCAGGGACCAACCAGTCCAGTGGAGCGTGCTGCCAAGGATGGCGTCTCCAGGATGGGGAGGGAAGGATGCCGGCAGAGCCACAAGGAAGGTGCCTCTCCACAGCCCTCCTTGAGCACAAGCACACCGAGGTCCACTTGCCCTCTCCAGCCCAGGGACAAGCCTGACGTATTTCCACCCTGCCCCTTCCTGCACCCCCAGGTCTGCTCCAGTCTCCTGCTTATGCTTCCAAGACTATGCCTATGGCTTCCCACCTCATGGCTCAGGATGTAGCTGCAGCCCTGTGCCCGGGGCCCTGCCCCTCTCCTCCCAGGGCCCTGGGGCCTACCACCTTTCTCCTTCCTCCTCCTTGCTTGGTTCTGTCCAGGGGCTCAGGGACGTTCAGGAGTTATGCTGTGTGCTCAGTGCCTGGGCTGCCCTCCCTGCCCGCCCGTGTCCTCTCCCAATCTTCTGCACCTCTTCAGACTGACACTCAGATGGGGAACTGACCCCAGTCACCACCCAGCCCAGATCAGCCACATGCCCATGCAGTGTCCTGAAGGCATCCTCTGCCTTCCTTCATAGATATTCCCTGAGATGAGGATTTCAGTACTGTTTGCCTCTCCCACAGGGCACTGTGCCCATTGGGCACACAGCCTGCAGTACAGGGCTGATGAGTGGAACTGTGGACTGAATGAGCATAAGCAGATTAGCAGCAGGGCCTCATTGTTACCAGAGAAACAGGGACACACCCAGGCCGCTTTCTGGGTAAGAAGAACAAAGGTGTGAATTACTTTTTGAGAAAAATTATAGACCAAACAGCAAAAACACCATGTTGTTGTATTTCAAGATTCCATCAGCTACAAGGACAGACAGGCCAAAGATATAAGTCTGCATTGTAAATGAGCCAAATGTGGTTTCTGTGCATTGGCCCTAGGTTGTTCATGTCTTCATTGCAGGCTGAGATGTTTTAGCTCAAAAGCCCACCTGTGCCAATTATCACTGACACACTTATTTTGAACATAGCCCAATCAAGCAGATTTTATCCATTTACAGCGTGCTTGCTTTGCATCCTCCAGAAACATCACCCAACAGTTATTATCAATGGTGAGATGGACCGTGCAGTTATGGCTGCTGCCCTTCCCAGAGACCCCTGTTATACTGCTGAGTGGCCACCTGGGCACAGGTGCTGCCTCTCCTGTCCCTTGCCCCCGGTGAGACAGGGAACGTGGATGTAGTCAGAGTAGGGTGAGGGCCTCCGGAGGGGGCAGGGTGAGATATTTGCAGTCAGAGCAATGCAACTACATGCAAGGAACCCCCCCTGCTAAAACTCTATGTTAACATTGAGCTCTAGAATCATTCTTCATTGAAATCAGTTAATGTTCCCCAGATAAGGAAGAGTAGCGCATGTTTTATTATGCTAACCATTTATAATCATGTGTAAGGTTCTCTTTAGCATACTAAAAGGCCCAGGCCTAGGTGCTGTCTTTCTCCTTCAGATCTGATGAAGTGATTTTGCAAACTGGGCAACTAATTTAGCAAGTAAGCCCAGGCATAAACAACACAGTAAAAGGCAGGAAGGATTCCACCTTAAAGATAAGATTGCATTTTAATACCCAAGAAGTTAAGATGTTAGAAATTCTTAACTTACTCTTTAGCAAACAATACCTTTGCCCACCTTGGGAGCTGAGTAGGTGGCCTTGTTTCATATGCTCCCAGACCAAGATGCTGGTATCTCAGGAAGAAATCATCAGAGGAAGTTACTTGTGTTAAGTTAATTCTAAATATTCAGGGACCACTTAACAAGTCCCATTATGACACATGCCACCAGATGGCAGCAGGATGTCTTACAGGAGGGACGTTCTGGGTCCGTCAGTCTACCACAGGTGTCCTGCTCAAGGGCCAGAGGGCTCACCACCGTGAATGACCTGTGCACACTGCATTTCAGAGTTCCGCCTGATTTTCAGGGACTCTAGGTCATTAGCCAATGTTTTCCAAAAACTGATAGGTTCTCCAAGGGGTCTTAAACCTAATTTGAGGCACCTTCACCTGCTCCAAACCCTACCATCTCTATTCCATTTTGCAAACCACGCAGGCCCCCTCCCTGTACTGGAGGCTGCCCTGGCGCCTCTGGCCCCTGGAATAGAAACAGAAGGCCAAGGTGGGGGCTGGAGGACGAGCACACGCAGGCCACATCATGCCCATGCCTGAGAGCTTTCCCGGGACCCACAGCATAAAAGCCATGCTCCTGAATCCTGCTCACTAACCAGGCTGACACTGCTTGGTTCATCTGCCCAGCTCTGTCCCTTCTTTGGGCAACACCACCTACTTCATTGGGGGCGACTTCCCTCCCACCTGGAACTACCTGGTTCTAGGGGAGCAGCACCTCTCTTCCAGGCCTCATTCCTACCCAGGCCATAAGTTGGAACAACCCCAAGTCCTTTCCTAAGACTTCTGATAGAACTAAGGAGAGAGGGTCCTTTCCATCCCGGTTGAAAAATAAGAAAGAAAAACGTGACCCCAGGAGATCCCAGCGCACAGAGCCTGACTGGCCCTCTCTGTCCTCACTGGCTCCTGCGTACAGGAGCTCTGATCGCCCCTCCTGGCCAGGCCTGGCCAGGGAAGTGCAGTGCCTGCTCTGGACCAGCTGTCAGCTTTGGTGGTCTGTGGCTCCCATCTGAACCACACCCTCACTCTGTACCTCCTCATCTTTCTCATACTGTCCCCTCCACTGGGGACACCTTTCCCCCAAGGCCACTTGTGTCTGATGAAATCCCTCCTGCATGTCAAGCCACTTCCTCTGAGAAGACTTTTCTGAGCCTCAGGCGTCGGTCCCTGACCTGTCTGGGATCCCACCTCCTCCCAGCAGGATCCAGCATCAGGCCCAGCCTAAGCTCAAGGTGGTGGTGGTGGACAGGTGGGTGTGGGGTGCTCACCTGTACAGCAGACGGCCCCGGTCCCGCGCACTGATCTTCCCCCATAGTCCGTTCTCAAAGGCATCCTTCGCAGCAGCCACTGCCTTATCAATGTCACTGACCTGGGCCAGGGACACCTTGCAGATGGCCTGTGGTAGAGCAGAAACATGAAGCCCTTCCTGGACTTAGTGTGCCCAGACCCCTGGGCCTACGCACTCCCTTGGCCACCTGAGTGGTGGGAGGGCACAGGGGGGGCTTGTGACATGAGGAGGGCAGGGGCCTCTGGGAAGGTCTGGGTTTCCACATACAGCGATCTTCTCACTTTCCTACTGAGCCTGATCAGGCTGCAGGCTTCCCAGAGGCCAGGTCAGGGGTGGGGAGTAGACCGGAGAGGAGGTGGCTGCGGAGAGGAGGAGATGGGAGCACACTCACGCTACCATCTGTGGGGTTGATGGTCTCGTAGGTCTTGGCCCCCTCGGCATCCACAAACAGACCCCCGATGAAGAGCTGGTGGGGCATTCGGAGGGTCAGCTTGTTCACCGCCTTTTCCACCTGGAAGGACGGTTTTACAGGCTTTAGCTGCAGTGTGGATTCTTCATGGACAGGCATGAACCCATGCAGACACGGGAAGTGCCCACAGGTGGACAGATAACCACTGTGCACACACACAACGAAGGGGCCAGGGCTCAAGGTCTCGGCCTTCACAGGTCTCCTCTGCTGAGTCCAGCTTCACTGCCTTCTTTGGCCCAGGGAGCTATGTGGGAAGTGGAGGCAGCTGAACGGTACAATGAGATGGAGAAAACAGACTCTGCCTGGGGTGGAAGCCCAGCTCTGCCACTTCATTGCTGTGTGACCTCAGGCTGGTTGCCTGGCTTCCACACAGAAGAGGTGCCAGCTGGTGGACAGACCCTGTGGGCCACCAGACATGACACCAGCCACCCACTTACTTCCCTGTGGATCTGAAATTCCACACTGAATACCAGAGCCCATGGGATGCCACCCACCTCCCAAAATCTGTTCATCAGTCACCTGTCCACAGTCTCAAGGCCACCCTGGTGTCCTTCCTACCCGCCTGTACTTCCTACCCCAGCTTGCATCCCAAGCTACTAGCCCAGCAAACTATCCCGGAGCTGACACCTGTGGGAGTTGGTAGCCTACCAAGATTCCCCAGGGATGAATTTTCTAAGAGTTTCTTTGAAAAATAGATTTTCAGTTATTTCATCACGCTTCCATACACACAAGTTGAACTTATAGGATCATTTGTTTTCCTTTTTGGAAAATATTGCCAATTCCTTTCTTTCTAGCTCTCTCTCTTTTGGCATTTCAACAACAGGAATTTAATGTGGGGATTGGTTGCACAGGTGGTGCCAGAGCTGAGAAGCCATGAAGCAACCCAGAGATTGGCGACAAGAGGAAGCTACTGCCATCACTAGACTGGAAGGGCAAATGGAGAAGGTGTTAGTATGAGAACCAGGAGCTGGGGTCATCCAGGGGAACGAGAGTTCTGGTAGGGGCAGGAAGCACAACAAAGACACAGCTACTGCCGAAAAAATCCACCAAAGGAGGAAGACGGGGAGAAGTACTCTGTCAAAGACCCTTCTTAATATCCTGGTCTCATGTCTTGGGACTCAGAATATACTGAACCTTGGGCAATTTCCTGTGTTGAGTCTGTCCTACTGCTCTGGCATCCTCAGACCATCAGGAGTTGTCAAAAAGAGGCTGGGACACTGCAGGGTGGGCCTGGGGATCCTGGCTTCCCCGGGTGTCACTGTGGGTCCACGGGTGTGGATGCTGAGGATTGGCAGGCTGTACCCACGCGGAGGGGCCTGGGACTCACATAGTCAATGATGCACTCGCTCTCTCTGTCTTCCCCCCTCAGCTTCCTCACTAACAATTGGATGAAGTCCCCAAAGGTGGTTGCCATGTAAACATCTTCGTTCTCTAATTCCAGGCCATCACACAGCTCCTTCACTTCCTCGACCAGTCTGCAGGAAAGAAGATGGAAAGTGGGAGCACAGGAAGAGGCTCAGCAGATCCACATCATTCTCGCAGCAGGGGAGATGGGGCCAGACACATTTTTTTTTTTGCTCTAGGAAGAACTTTTTATTACAAAATTATTACAAGTAGGCACTGGTCTGGCTCCCAGCCGTGGGCTCTGGCCGCCCCCTAATATCGACCCTAACTCCGGAAGGAGAGGGTGGCGGACTCTGAGGGCTCCCCACTCTGGAAACCTAGCCCTGCAGTCACAGGCCCAGGGGTGCAAGTTGTCTGCACCCCAACTCCAGGGAGCAGGAGGCCTTGAGACAAGCCAAGGGCAGGAGGGGCAGGAGGGGCGCAGGAGGGCGCAGAAGAGACCTTCATCTCAGTAGCCAAAGTGTAAATGTTAACCTAGAATTGGAGTTAGGATCCCAGTCCCTGGAATCAGAAGGGCCTACTTTCAAGTTCCGGCTCCACCACTTACTACTTTGTGACCTTGGGCAAGTAACCAACAACTCTTCGCCTTAGTTTCTTCACATGCAAAATCTGAATAATAATAGCTCCTCTAGTACTTTTTGATGAGTAAATGAGACAATCTAACTGTTAATAATAATAAAAAATAAAATACTAATAATCTTCAAAAGACATTGTTAAAAGAATGAAAAGATAAGCCACAGTTTGGGAGAAAATATGTCCAAATCACATACTGATAAAGGACTTGTATTCAGAATATATGAAAAACTCTCAAACTCAATACTAAGAAAAAACCAATCCAAGTAAAAATGGCAAGAGATTGGACAGATGCTTCAGCAAAGAAGAAATATGGATGACAAATAAGTATATGAAAAGATGTTTGACATCACTAGTCATTAGGGAAATGTAAATTAAAGCCACACTGAGATATGTTTGCATACTCACTAGAGCATCTAAAAGTTATAAGACTGACATACCAATTATTGGTAAAGATGTGGTGTGACTGGACTCTTCTGTACTACTAGTGGGGCTGGAAACCACTTTGGGAAGCAGTTTGTCAGTTTCTTAAAAACTTCCCATTTCACCGTTAGGTATTTACTCAAAAGAAATAAAAGCTGATGTGTAGACAGAAATTATAGAGTAGAAAACTGCAAGAATCCATTCCTCCATTTTTAAACAACTAACTGGTAAGAACTTTTGAACCGAATGTTTTGGAACTCAAGTGTTTAGTCAAATACTTCCAACACCCCTGGGAGAAAATACAGAAAGGCTGACAGATGTCAGTTAATTACAGCCTTTCATGAGTTATGATCCTCCATCCCTGTGGCAGGGAACAGCGGAGACAGCGGGCCTCATCCCTGGTATAGCTGGCTGGAGCTAGGGTGGGCAATAAGGCCCTTGTCCTCAGTATATCTGGACTGGGTCTTCTGAGCACGGAGACTTCTTTTAACCACCAAGGGACCAGCGCAGGCTGGTGGCTGTTGTTTCAATGCCCACAAGCTGAAGCTGCTTCTAGGAGATTTTAAGGGGCAACAACCTTCTCCCCTTTCGGGAGTGAGACACTTATGAAAACCCTTGCTAGGATGCTGTCTGGCTGCAGAGCTAGCAGAAGAGGAACTCAAGACTATGCACAACAAGGAATACACATTTTGGGAAAAAATGTTTGGAAAAATCACAAATGGATGGCTCTAGCCTTCAACAAGCAAGATTTAGCAACCCTCAGAGTGTGAGAATTAGATTTTAGAATTACCACAACAGAACACTGAAAATATCCAGTTTTCAACAACAACAACAAAAATGCAAATCATACAAAGAGGCAAGTCTAGAGCATTTACATGAGAAAAAAATTTGAAAGAAATTATCCCTGAGGAGGATCAGATATTGGAATTATTGGTTAAAGATGTTAAATCAAACTGTCTTAAACATGTTCAGTGACCTAAAGAAACCATGGACAAAGAACTAAAGGAAACTAGGGAAGTGATATATGGAAAAAATGAGAATATGAATGAAGAGATAGAAATTATAATAACAAACCATACAAATTCTCAAGCTGATAATAACTGAAATGAAAACTCATTAGAGGGGTTTAACAGCAGATTTGAACAGCAGAAGAATGGAGGATGAGCTTGAAATTATCTAGTATGAAGAGAAAATAAATAAACAAATAAATAAACAAATAAATAAAAATGATAAGAGCCTGAGGGATCTGTGTGACTTCATCAAACATATCAACATTCTAGAAGTTCCAGGGAAGAGAGATGGAAAGGAACAGAAAGAAATTGGAAGAAATAATAGCCCCCAGATTTGCAAACTGGAGGAAACACATGAATATACACATCCAAGAATCTCAATGAATTACAAGCAGGGTAAACTCAGGAAGAGTCACATTACAGTCAACTTGTTGAAACCTAAAGACAAAGAAGGAATTGGGGAAGCAGTAAGAGAGAAGCAATTCATCACATACAAAGGATCCTCAATACGATTAAAAGCCGATTTCCCCTCAAAAACCATGAGTGCCAGAAGGCAGTGGGATGACATGTTTAAAGTCCTGAAAGAAAAAAAATTGCCATCCAAGAATTCTGTATCTGTTAAAACTATCTTTTAAGAATGAAATAAAAATTAAGGCATTTTACAAATAAACAAAAGCAGAGGAAGTTCATTACTAGACTTGCCTTTCAAGAACTGTAGAGCATCTTCCCAGCTGAAATGAAAGGACACTACACAGTAACTCAAAGCCATAAGAAAAAATAAAGAACACTGGTTAAAGATAATCCATAAGTAAATATGAAAGCCAGGATTATATTTCAGTATAGCTTGTGACTTTTTCCTATATAACAGGCAAATGCATAAAACAGTCCCTTTAAATCTGTATTAAATGAGTACACAATATATAAAGATGTACCTGTGATAACAGTATAAAGGGGGAGTGACAGAGATGTAGAGGAGTTGATTGCATAATATTGAAACTAAGTTGGTATTATTCAAACTACATTGTTGTAAGTTAAAGATATTAATTGTTATGTTCAAGATAATGAATAAATAACTAAAAAGAATGAACCAAAGTGGTGTACTACCAAAAAACTTAAGAAGGCCATAATAGAGAAGCTGAGGAATAAAAATCATGAAAGACATACAGAAAACAAATAGGTAAATATCAGAAGTAAATCTTTATTAATAATCTGGCTAAGTGGAAATGGATTAAACTCTCCTACTAAAAACATAGATAGGAAAATTGGATAAAAAACAGCATCCACCCATATGCTACAAGAGGTTCAGTTTAGATATAAGTACACAAAAAGATTGAAAATGAAAAGATCAAAAAATGAAAGGATGCAAATAATAACCAAAAGAGCTGGGTGGCTATATTCTTGTCAAAATAGACTTTAAATAAAAAAAAGTTGCAAGAGGCAATGAATATTAATAAAAGATTCAACAGAGCTCTGTATCCCGGAAGCTGGATTTCATGGACTAGGTCAATAAATCTCTCTTGCCTTTGGGCATCTTGTTTTTCATTTGCCTAGTAGGAGACACAGGTAGATTAGAAGATAAAAGAGAGGATGGGGCTTTTATCCCTGTGCTCCACACTGCTGATTCATGGGGCTGCATTTCCACTGGCATGGTCTCAGCTCCATCATACCACCCTCTCCAACAGCTCCAGATGCTCAGGCTCCAGTTCCTTCTTCTTGCTCCTTCAGGCCCAGGCTCCCAGCTCTTGAGAATCCCAAGGTGTCTTGACATCACTTGTTTGTCTCCCTGCTTCATTCCTTGTATATAAACCCTTCATTAAACTCTCAGTTGTCTAGCTAGACTGTGCCACCCACGTCCTGTAGGGACCTTGGCTGACACACCGGGTCTCTGATGAGCTACCCACCTAGACACCCTGCCCAAGTAAGAACTGGGGTACATCCTATGTTTGTTACTTTTATTTTTAACACTGTATTTGAGAAGCATGCTAGTCATACAAGTTCTTTAGTACATAAATTGAATAATCCACCTTAATTTCTTCTCCTTCTCCTCTGCTACCTCCCCCTTATTTTTGAATTAGGACATCTTCTGGTATTCCAGTCCAGAATCACAGGCCAAATTCAGCCAGTTCAGGAGGATGAGGGTCATCCCGCTCATGAGCTGGGTGTTTGTTCCCATCAGGGCACTTGTTTCCTTATGCCTTGGGATCACTTGTGTGGGTGTAAATGATGGAAGCAGAATAGAAGGTGAAGGATCAGCTTTCTTGATGCTTTCAGAGTAACATTAATGAGATGGCAGAATAGAAACTCCAGACCCTTCCTCCTCTCAAAGAAACAACGATTCAACAAAACATGGGCTAAGCCCCTTTATGAGAAACAGTTAAAAAGTCTACTGGAATTGTAGGACCAGCTGCACTGAAGCCAGTAGGAAAATTTACACTTCTTGCCATGGTTCCTGCCTCCTGGCCCAGCAACATGTAAGGGGGAGGAAGTTCCAAGCTCCCAGTTTCTTTCTGGGGAGGAAAAGAGAAGACTGGACCATATTTCCAATATTCTGACCTCTGGGGAGGGCCATCCAAGGGACCAGCTTCTGTCTCACTGGCCTCAAGTGCTGATGGGACCTGACTTACTGAGCTGAGAACAAAGCAGCTGGGTGATGTGCTGTTCCCACGTGCCCCCTGGCACAGGATATGGGGGGCAATACATCCCTGCAACCTCTCCTTCAGTGAGAAAGGGAAGAGTGAAATGTGTGTCAAATATTCTAAAGTTTTTAGGGGATTTCCCAAGGGACAGGTTTCAGTTTAGCCCAACTCTGGGTGCTGATAGGACCCTGAATACACTAGATATTGGGGGATACTGAGGAAGAAAGAGAGCAAGGACAATGTTGCTGTCTCAGAAGACCTGTGATACAGTAGACCAGAGGGAACAGCTATGAGCTCCTAAAAAAAACCCAGCGAATCCATCTAATTAGGAATCTATGTGCACAAGTCCAGAGAAGATACATCCACAAAAAAGGTTGGAGAAGCCTCTAGAATTTCTAGCCAGACTGGTTGGTGACAGTCTTCCACTGC